TTTGTTTACAGAACTGTTCTTGAGTTATGGTCCCCCAACTTTTCTCTTTTATTTTAGAGGGAAGCACATCAAAGTCAGGTAGATTTGGCTGAATTTTGCTTGAGGTTTTTCCTTCTTTGTCGAGAAATGCCTCAGGGGATTGCAATACACTAGTATGCAAATTCGGTGTCGGTCTTGGTTGATTAGCTGCATATTCGTCCTCATTTCGTTCGATATTTTCGATATTTTCTTCGGTTTCTTGTGTTAAAATCGTCATATTAGAGCAATTATGTGTGTTTTGCAGTCTTGAGGCTTGATCTCTCAGGTTTTGGCCGGTTAAATCAAGGCYTCCATAGCCTTTCTCTTCCCATAGCTCTGCCATTATTTGAATGTAGCCTTTCTTTCTGCCATTTTGGTTAAGCGGTGGATAATTCGAAGATATTATTTCGAATGCTCTTTCCTTACATTCTAAAACATCTCTGTTCATTCCCTCTGTCCATTTCGTTCGTTTTCCTTTCCTTGACATTTCCTTTCAGGGTCAATTAACAACAGAAAAATTAAAGAGCACCCCAGAGCTAGAAGACACGTCCTCACCTCCAGGCGCCATGAGCAAAAATTAAATAATTTAAAAAAAAAAAAAAAATTGCTTTAAATAAAGCTTTATTACATCAAAGAAAGCTATGAATATCAAATTGGAGTGTAATTGTTTTGACATTTCAGCTGGGATAACGAGAGCTAGAGAGAAAGCTTCAAACAAAATTAGAAGCTTCCGTGTTGAAGTAATGTCATTTTCAAGTTAAGGAATAGCGTGCAGAACGTCCAAAAGTTATTTGAACTTGCCGCAAGTTATTAAAACTAAGTTTGAATACGGCCACAAGCAATATAACTTAACGCAAATAAAAAATATAAATCGATTAAATGAGATTAAATTGAATTAAATATTCTAAAGATGCATCTAGCCTAAGATTTTGTCGTTGTTTCCATCATTAAACTCCTTATTAATATTTYCCCCGCGTTTTTTGTTTTGTTTTTGTATTTTGTGTACGTGTTTGTGTGTGCTTTATGGCATTGTGTGGTGTGGGATACTATCCGAACTATTAGTAAATGTAAGAGACGATGAAGGACCTTCATGCTCTTTTTGCAAATGTTGCTCATTAAAAAATATTTATGTGGCTGTCAAGATATACCCAGGACCATAGTATTAACTACGCTTGTAAACTTACTTGATCGATCCTTTTCACGACACACGAATCTTCGAACTCGACAGGCGGGAAATTCCTCGTTAATGCAATGAATAATTTTCAAACTTTCTGTTGAAGGAATCCAAGTAGATTATATAGCAATCGACTTGGAAGAATTCGAAAAATCTTTTAACAACTATCTTTAAATGTGTGCCGAGCGATAGAACTGTTAATACAAGGTTGTCAAAGGAGGAAGCAGCTGAATCCTGTTGCCCTTACACTTATCGTTAGAACTGAAGCCAAAGTAAGAGGTACGTGTTGCGCATGCTCAGTTAGTAGATCTGTTAGTAGATCTTCTCCCCTTTAAGAAAATCTACGGTATATTGAATTCGATTATGGCTTAATTAGATGTAATGAAACGAGATTTGAGAACTTGGTATAAATTTTTTTATTTATTTTCTGATATTTAATTTTTCATTTTTCTGACTTTGATAATGATGGATAAATAATGGTTGCTTGTGAAATCCATGGCGAGCAAGAGACTTGATGGCGAGTAAATCGTTTGTCACACACAATTAAAACTTTATCAAAAATTAAAGCGTTTCTTCTACGTGTAATTTAAAAAAAGACTTTATTCAGTTCTTAGATTTGAAGAAAATGATAATGAACGAAATTAAGTCAAAAATTAAAGCGGGAAAAATATTACAGAACGAAAAATTAAAATTTGTTCAAATTGTACTTCAAAATTGTTTCAAATGGTTTGTACTTTGATGGACGCAAAAAGTAGTTGCTTTCATTTTGTATTTTCTCCACGGTCACGTAGGGAAATCGGCACTCGAAACTCATTCCAATTTTATAAGTATGATTAATGATTTGTCAAAGTGAATTAATTGAAGTACTGTATGTTTGATGGATTGTTTTTGTTAACTAGTAGATATTGATAACTTTCATTAGAAGTGAAAAACTTTTGGACGCCAAAAAAGATTATACCGACTTCACACTTTACACTTTCAACTACCTTGTATCTTAATAGCGAAACGAAAGCACTGTCGGATGGAGAGATCGAGGGCCAAAAGAAAGAAAGAAAGAAGGAAAGAAAGAAGGAAAGAAGGAAAGAAGGAAAGAAGGAA